AGACGTCAATTGCAGCGTGGACTGCGCGCAAGGACTCCTTTATACAGGATCACCATCACGCTAAACCATAGCCGCCTGCGACTACAGTGGGTCAATTAGCATAGGGACTGGCATGCTGATTGGCAGCGTGTCGTGTTTTCTGACGAATCCCGCTTTAATTTATGGTAACATGATGGCCGCATTCGTGTCAGACGCTATGCCTGTGAACGCCGCCTTCCGGAGTGCATTATCAAACGCCACAGTGGACGAACACCCGGAGTTATGGTCTGGGGTGCCATAGCATATCATGGACGATCTCAATTGCTACGAATTGTGGGTAATCTGAACAACAACCGGTACATCAGTGAAGTTTTACAGCCCCAAGCTGTTCCCTTCCTTCAAGCCTTGCCAGGCGCTGTATTTCAACAAGACAATGCCCGCCCTCATATTGCTAGGACTGTTCAATCCTTCCTTGCATTGCGGCAGGTACAGCTTCTTCCTTGGCCTGCGTATTCCCCAGATACGTCACCGATTGAACATGTGTGTCATTTCGTTGGTCGGTGCCTCGCTCGTGATCCTCGTCCTGTTGCTTCTACAGACGAACTTTGGGTACGCATACAAACTATATGGAATGCTCTTCCTCAGACAGACATTCAAAATTTGCTTGACTCCATGCCACGTCGTGTAGCAGCGCTTATTGCGGTGCGTGGTGGCTACACAAAATACTGATTTCGATCTCTTGTTATTGTTTGTTTGCTTTGAAAGTTTAATCATTTATTTGTACCACTGCCACTCAACTGTGTAGTAAATTTCATTCAATTATGACGATTCCTTCATGGTGTTGCAATTTTCACAAACATGCGTTTACTTTTCATGTCACGGTAAAGAAAACTTACATATGTGTCACCATACGCATTTACTTTCTTATATTTTGTTTCTATGAAATGAAATGTTCTCCAACGTTGAACATTGCTTCAAATTTTAATCAGATAACCAAGTAAGTGTTAGATGGAATCTTCAATTAACTCTTTTTGTAGAAAGTATGATGTTTTACCCCAAAAAACAGAACATGTTTACTAAAATGGTTTTATTTTGAATTTTTCTTTAAAAAACTAAACAAAAATTTTTGCTAAAAAGGAGAAAATTTAATTTTGATTTTATCTTTATATATTTTCTCACTAACTTCCACTGCCTGGGATGAAATTTTTTGTTGTTGTTAGTAGTAAAAACTTGTTTTTGGTAGCCGTACATCAACCTGCTCACTACCAGGTTTATACGAATCATTCTAACTTTCATTGTTAATGCACAGTGCTCAAAATAAAACTCAAACCTTCCTACATAACTTCTAATCCAATGCTCGACCTTTACGCTCTTGGAGTCAAATATCAAATGTTCGTGAGGGTGAGCTCGAATTGTTAATTAAATTACTGCAGACGATATTTTAAGTTACGAAATCAGACACCAAAACATACTTTCTCTAAATAAACAAACCTTGTTTTCTACGGATTCGGATTTTTGACCCCCATAATATAGGGGGTAGCCGCAATATGGGAAATATGGTTCCCATGCTTTGGTGATGACGGCTTTCCAAAATTTGGACCCCATCATGTTAATTTCACCATTTCTAAGAGATTCAAGCATAATCTTTCAAATCGTATCAACAGTTTTGCCATGTAAAATCTTCCAAAACATTTGCTGCTAAACGAAATATAGTTCGCATATAGTGTTTCCATCCCCTGTATTTTACAAAGAGAAAAACGTCATACAAAATAAATTTCTATTTAATTCAGTTTTAATCAATTCTTATGATTAATTTAGACAAATTCTATAGATTTTAACTCGTTAAAACTCTTGTGACTGTAAATAAACATTATATTCATTAAGCAGTAAATCGTCATCAAAAGAGATAGATTCGTTGTTTTTATAAAGCGTTTAGAAAATGTCTTAATTATAAAAATGAGTATATAAAAATTTACCCTCTTAACAAGTTGAACGCTACAATAATATTTCATGGCTTGCCCATCTGGCCACGGTAAATAACTACAAAACTAAATTTGCAAATATTAGACGGATTTTGCTATTTTTTTGGAAGGTTTATCATGACATATCTGACAAAAGTGGTGAATTATATAAGCCTACGAATTATGTAGAAATAGGGGTGGATAGAAATCTACTATATTGAATTTATTAAACTAAGAATCACAATTGATAAACTACCACTTTAAAATATATATTTTCTGTCCGGAGAAAGTTAGCATCTCTGAATATGTATGGCACCCCCAATCTATAACAGAACTCTTAATCAATAAAACAACTTCTTTAAATAAATTTTGAATAAATTTTCTGCAATTCTATAAAAGAGTGTACATTTTATAGTTCTATATCATGTTATACGCCAGGGGTGGCGAATCTTCATGCACCAACGTGCCATTTTTTCTAAAATATATTGCAATGAAGTCATAGACGTGCCGACAAATAGTTTTGACTTCGTGATTATTGGGTAAATAATAATACTAAATTTTATCAACTCAAAACTCTTTATTTACTACGAAAAAATGCAATTCTCAACTTCTGCAATGTCTCAGTTACACGCGTAACTCAACTTAAAGTAACATCAGTGTGACTTCTGTTGTTGCAGATTAGATGACAAATAACTTATATTAGGGTTATAAGATGTTAGTTAATTTTTTTGCTAGTTATTTATTGTTCGCATGTTTTTTTGTGGTTATTAATTGCTTTCTTGGCATTAATTGTTCTTTTTTTTGTGAATTTTAATTGAATTGTTAATATGCTTCATAGTAAATTTTGTGATCGGTGGCGTGCCCAAAATATTGTATCGCGTGCCACAAGTGGCAAGCGTGCCACTGGTTCGCCATCCCTGTTATACGCTTTCAACCAGCTGTTTTTCGCGGCCTATTTGAAAGTGCCAGGAAGCGGTGGCAGATGCAGCCTAAATGTAATTTCAGTGTCAGCTACCGGTGGTTGACGCGGCCTAAATGTAATTTCAGTGTCAGCCACCGGTGGTTGACGCGGCCTAAATGGAAAGTCCTGTGTCAGCCACCGATGGCAGACGCGGTGCTCAACGTGTTAACTAAAGTTAGAATACAATATTTTGTAAAGCTTAAGTTGTATGTAACTGTGAAAAATATCTTTCTAATATAAAGAATAAAGAAAAAATTTCACCAAAGGGCATTTTTCAACATATCCCTTGTTTTGGTAGTTGTGTATTAACTAATTCAGTGTCAACCACATGAGTGTAGGTAAATTCTACCAGGGCTCGAAAAAACTCAGAAATTTTACCCGTCCTCGAGGACGGCTTGTCTAACAATGTACCCGTCCTCCTTTGAAACTAACCCGTTGCTTCTAAATAAATAAAAATATAATTTTCTCTTATTCATTACAAACATTTATGTAAATTGCACAATGAATTAGTAGTTACTAGGATTACATTATACAGTAATACGCATTACATTAGTATATACTAGGTTACTAATAGCAACCTAGTATTTCTTTTATGAAATAATTTATTTCTTTTATGAAATAATTTAAATGACANTATATATATATTGCAAAGGGTTAAAATAAAATCTATTGCTACTAAAAATTCAGCTTACAATAAAATTAATACCACTTTTTAACCCTTTGCCACTCGAGAGGTGACTGTCAGTCACCTCTGTCGCCTGTAAATTACCCACCGCCCTAAATGTGAAATTTTTTCACCTTAATGCTTAGTTACCACTTCATTCAGTGAACTCCGGGTATTATAAGGTAAGTTTGTAAAAAATCTTTCAAAATGTTAGTGGTTGTGTTCATTTTTTTGACAGCTGAGAGAACTTGGAGTGCAAAAGGGTTAAGTTTTGCGAGATTCTTAAAAACCATGTATATAAGATTTTCATGATTGAACTTTTGTTTAGGGAATTTTCTTTATTGAAATCTAGTTTTTTGGGAGTCGAGCTAGATCGCTTAAAAAAAACAGTAATTGATAGCATTTGTTTGTGACATAAACAAAAAAATTACTATTTTTAAAAAAATAAAAAACGTAATAAAGATGTTACAGCTGAATATCGAATTCCTTTCTTAATCGATTGGAGAACAATGACATAAAACGTTTAAAACTGCCTAAAAAAATTGTTAAAGCAAATATTTCTTTCTTTCGCTCTTTTATTATTTATTTTTGATTCTCAGAGAATTTTGGTGAAAAGTTTAAATCCAGAGTTGTGGAGGCATATATTTCATTAGAGCAATTTTTCAGTCAATTTTTTAAAAGAAATAATTAAAATATAACTCTGTAACTTAAATGAGATTTTTACGCATTTCTTGTAAAAGTTTAATTTACCTTTTATCTGGTATTAAAATTAATGCTTTCTTTTCAATTTATTGATTTTTTTAAAATTAATTTAAAATCATTTTGATTTTAGCTCCATGAAAAAATTTATATCAGTGCTTAATAAAGTAGTTCTTTTGTAAAGTTTAACATTGCAAGGTTTCGAATTAGAATATTGATGGTCGTACACCCAAACAAAGCATAACATAAAACAATATAACATAAAACAAAATAACATGATGCATAACATTGCATTAACATCACATTAACATAACAATACATTGACATTAACTTAATAACATTACATTAACATTAACTTAATAACATTACATTAACATTAACTTATAACATTATATTAACATTAACTTAACAACATTAAAACAACATAGCATTAAATAACATAAATAAAATTTGCATAGTCTAAAAAACCCAGAGAGTTGAACAAATTTTTAAATCTGGAAGTTGTTGTTTAATAAGAAATAAAAAGTTGAAAAATAGAAGAAAAAAAAAGGGATTTTAATGAAAAGCCGATGGGGGATATACTGTTCCCTCACTTCTATAGTTAAAGTAGAGATCGTGAATTTCTATGAGTATTAAATAAAGGAATGCAGAAATGTTCGCTACGAGATGGCGCTGCGAGTGACACTTTATATGAACTTTGTAGGAAGGAAGGAATAAATTCTGTCAGTCCAGAGAAGAGCCAATGTTTTGAGAGCGCTCAACTTCAAAAGTTTTTCTCCCACAAAAGGGTTCGCGCCAGAATGTGAATGATATTATTTTCAACCTGTCAGCAATTTCATTCCATTTTGAATTGCTAAAAAAATCTTTCGACATGACAACAAGTGTCAGAATTCCCGGAACTTCTGTTCTGAATTCGAGAGGATGTTATTGGGGAGAATGAGGTGATCTCTTTTTCCATTTCGTTTTCGAAACAGGTGGAAATAAATTTTGCGTTCCTTCCTGCATTGTGAATAATTGCATTTTATATCAAAAGTTTATAAACTTTTATAATTGGTAAATCCCTTTCATTTGTTTGTACATCGGTTCTACACTTAAACTATATATATACGTTTTTATTAACGTTTAAAGGAAGAAAAAGTTTCAGATGGATTGAGCGTAAAGACGTTGTAAAGAGCTTTTAATAAGCGTTACAGACATATTCATGGAAGAAGATTTTAAAATTTTGTTAGAAATTCTACAAACATTTTAGCATTTGTGGAAAGCCTCAGCCATTAACTAAACATGACAATTTAAACAAAAATTTATCAATTCAAAATTAGGAGTTTCTTAAATATATGTGCATAAAAGAATTGTTGATGAAAATAAAAATTCACAATATTTTTAAGGACCGAAATGTAGTTATTTTAGAAGACAAGGAAAAACCTGTTGTTCTAACGGATTTAGAAATTTGAAGTTCTAAAGGATATGTGTAAAGGGAAGATGGTCGTGTTCATCAGTTTAATATCATTAGTTCTCTTCATTATATTCCAGGTAGGAGTTTTTTCCTTCTATTTTAATACCAATTACGCATCTATTCGTACGTATGTGGGAAAAAAACTTTAAAAAAATGTATAAATTTCGTAAAAATAGGTTTCACGTTAGAATAAAATTATTAAAGCTTCTTGACTTGACTCGATGTGAAGTTTAACAGGATTGTAGATTTGCATTTATATTTATTGAGTTATTTAAATTAAGTTATTAGATTCAAATCTGTGGTCGGAAAAATTACATTATTTGTGTCATTTACTACGTTTACTTTTTTTTAATGTAGTCACTGCAAACTACTTTGGAATTGTAGTGACAATACCTCTAGTTTAAAGAACCGAACTTTGCTGGAGAAATTGATTTGCACCTGTGTAATTTACACTGCTGGAAAAATTAATTTACACATTATGTTCGAAATGGTTTTGAATGAAATAAATGGGCTTTCATCAAACAGGAATCATTTAGAAATATTTTTTCATGCTTACATGAGCCATTTTGTTATTCTGAAATATTTGTTTCGAATTTGTTAAATTTGTCCTCCACATTTTATGCCCTTCTTAACAGCGAATATTTAATTTAAGAGATGCTAAGAAATTATGAAATACACTTTAAGTGTTTAATGCTCTTTTATTTCCTCTAAGGAATTAAGTACATCGAAAATATGTTTCCTTCCTTTGAAATAACACTGTTTTACGAGTGTTGTGCATTCGCATCTGAAAGTGTGACCAAAGCGATAAGTTATTCATAATGGATAGCTTAATATTGGTAATACGTGACTCTAAATAAGATATTCTTGTTCACTCACAGGGGCATTTAAAATTGCGTCCTTTGACAGACCCTCGAAGATTTGTACAAATCAAATTTGAAGAATTAGCTGCGTCAGAACCCTGTTCATTTACTGAACTAATGTAAGAAGCAGTTGCCATGAACCCAGGGATGCCAGCTTGCTCCGCTTTGTAAAATAGCATTTTCCAATGGTAGCGAAATTTAAGTTACTTTTAGTTTCGTATTTTTAATTTTAAGAAATTTTTTCACCACTAAATATCAAAAATTATAAGTATCATATCAAATACAATGTTACAGCATCAATCTACTGGTTACTCTATCAAAAACTGGGCGTAACTATACTTCTCTAGCGAAGTTTACTATATACTTTGCTACCACTTTATTAAAACTTTTCCAGAAAGCGGAGTAGTTGGCATCCCTGTGAATCTCTTACAAACTACTATTTTTTTTGTATCGTACTACTCACGACACTACACAAAAAAAAAGCAACACATTACTCTACAAACTACGAAAAAACGTTGTGACTACAGTAGTTTCACTGCTTGTAGTGAGTTACTTTCGATCACTGATACAAACGTAATAAAACATAATTTTTTTATCTTAATATAGATACCACTTTCTTATATTTATTTTAAACAAAGTATAAATTTTATCATCTAATTACATACCTGCCAACTTTTAATCCCTTCCATTATCATTTTTCCCAGTGGTACTAAAATGAAATTAAAACTTCAATTTTATGTAAACAAATTCGTTGTATTTGAGAAAACTTAAGTTGACAACCATGATTGTAACGCATATTAATATATGTGCTTAGTTTTTGCAAGAATAGTGGTGATCAAAATCATTTAAAAATTATGTTTATAAAAGAAAAAATAGTATATATTTACTACCACTTTAAATATGAAAATAAAATCTTCCGGAAGAGTTGGCAGGTATGTAATTGCATTGAGTGTTACTTCACGACACTTTGCTTATATAGTACTTGTTTATCTCATGGCATTATTAAAATAAAAGAGAGCCTTGAAAATAATATGTGATTTTATTAAAACTTTTTAGTTGCTCTGCTGACAAATAAAATCTTGTGAAACTAAAATTTTTAATGTATGAGTGATATTTTTAAAATTAAAAACACTTCATCGTGATTTTTACATACCTGTTGATTTTCCCCCCAGTGATAGTGAAATAACTATTGCAGCAAATATTTAATTCTTTTTTCGCCATCATTTAAGCATACCTGCCAACTCTTCCGGAAGATTTTATTTTCATATTTAAAGTGGTAGTAAATATATACTATTTTTTCTTTCATAATTTTAATTTTTAAATGATTTTGAGCACCACTATTCTTTTAAAAATTAAGCACATATATTAATATGCGTTACTATCATGGTTGTCAACTTAAGTTTTCTCAAATACAACGTCATACCTTCCAACTCTTTCGGAAGATTTTATTTTCATATTTAAAGTGGTAGTAAGTATATACTATTTTTTCTTTTAAAAATTTAATTTTTGGATGATTCTGATCACCACTATTCTTACAAAAATTAAACACATATATTAATATGCGTTACTATCATGATTGTCAGCTTAAGTTTTCTCAAATACAACGTATTTGTTTGCTTAAAATTGAAGTTTTAATTCCATTTTAATACCACTGGGAAAAATGATAATGGAAGGGATNATCTTAAAGTGTTACCTAAGTGATAAATTATCTGTTAATGTCCCGAATTAATCCGTTTTGTCCCGAATTTATAAAATGAAATGATACAAAAAGTGGTTTTATGGGAAAAGTGGTAAAATATATTATCGAAATTAATTGGTTTTTCTACTGTTAGGGCATTCAAAAAGTCATTGATAGATCAGAAAGTACTTGCTCCTTATAATTCTAGATCTAATCAGAAATAACTAAATCATTGTGGTATCTGAGAATCTTTTAATTCACCCAGATAAATGAAAATGCTGAAAAAAGTTTCCCGCCACAATGAATGTCTTTGAAAAAAGGAACTGTCCTAAATGTATGACGCTGGGCGTTAACCGGTTAATATTGGTAATGCGTGATAAGATATTCTTGTTAACTCACAGTCACAGGGGGCATTTAAAATTGCGTCCTTTGACAGACCCTCGAAAATTTGTACAAATCAAATTTGAAGAATTAGTTGTGTCAAAACCCTGCTCATATACTGAACTAATGTAAAAAGCAGTTGCCATGAATCTCTTACAAACTACTATTTTTTTTGTATCGTACTACTCACGACACAATTTAAAAAAAAAAGCAGCACATTACTCTACAAACTACGAAAAAACACTGTGACTGCGGTAGTTTCACTGTTTGTAATGAGTTACTTTCGGCCACTGATACAAACATAATTTTTCATCTTAATATAGATACCACTTTTTTATATTTGTTTTAAATAATCTAAAAATTTTATCATCTGTACATGTTTCGTCATCTTACGTTGCTTATATAGTACTTAGCTTATCTCATGGCATTATTAAAATAAAAGAGAGCCTTGAAAATAATGTGTGTGATTTTATCAAAACTTTTTAGTTGTTCTGTTGACAAATAAAATCTTGTGAAACTAAAATTTTTAATGTATGAGTGATATTTTTAAAATTCAAAACACTTCATCGTGATTTTTACATACCAGTCAATTTTTTCCCCAGTGATAGTGAAATAACTATTGAAGCGATATTGTAATCAAATATTTAATTCTTTTTTCGCCATCACTTAAGATAACTACTATACACAAAAAGAAAACTGCAGAATTTCCATCTACTTTTAAAAAGTAGACACAATTATCCTAATTCTACAAGATCATCTATTTAATTCGCTACCAATTTATGATAACGCGTGCAGGAAGCGGAGCAATTTGCATCCGTATAAAAATTCTTCCAGTGATAACAAAGTGTATGCTTTAATATACGAGCCATTCTGTTCTTTATAAATTTGACTGTTAGTTATTTTACATACCACAACTCGTAAAAGATTAAAAATCTTATATAAAAAGCCACTTCATGCTTATTAATTCGTGGTGAAGTTTTTAATAAAACGGTAAAATTCAAACCTGCCAACTCTTCCGGAAGATTTTATTTTTATATTTAAAGTGGTAGCAATACTCTTGTTATTCCAATTAACTTTTTGAATTATAATGATAATTATAAATGAGTTTGACCACCACTACATATAAATAATTACAATAAATGTATAAAAGCATAATGATCCAAGTACAAGCGAATTTCAACGGGATCAAAATATAAATATATTTTTGAGTCAGATTGTTTATTGTTTCACAACCACTCTGAAAATTCATTCTCGGAAAGAGTGAAAGTTAGCAGGTAAGAAAATTACCAAAAATCCTGTTTATTTTTTAAATGTCTGCCACTTAATAAAATATTTTGTAAAAAGCGTAATAGTTGGCAGTCAATGGTTTTATTACTTAATTCGCTACCGATCTATTAAATTTTTGAAGAAAGCAGAGCATTTAACGTTCTTGAATGAATATTATCAACAACGGATCTATCTCAGTAATTTATGAACGCACTGATGCCGCAGAGATGCTTGCTCCGAACAGCAAATATATATTTAAAAGTGGTAGTTTATCAATTGTGATTCTTCATTTAATAAATTCAATTTAGTTGATTTTTATCCACCACTATTTCTAAATAATTCATACTACTTGTGTACCACTCAGATGAATTAGTTATAGCCTCTAGCGGGGCTAATGCTAAGATAACCTCCACATATGAGTATGAGTGGTACTTGTGTCATAAACAACTTTCCTATGTACGCCTCCACACTGTCTTTTGTAGGTAGTCTGATCAGACCACCATGAAAGTACACATATTAGTGAAAGAACCATTTAATAGGAAATCTATAAAAAATTAGAAAGTGGTAGCAAATATATGTCAAAACTTTTTTTTAAATTTATGAATATAATTGGTTTATTTTATTTATTTGTCAACCACTACAGATTCAATTCTCAAATATATATGATGAATTTCTCTCATGTACTTTTAAAATACCCACGTCATCATCAACAGTCAACAGTCTACTTTTAAAATAGAAGGTGGGTATATGACAGAGATGCCAACTTGCTCCGGACAGCAAATATATATTTTAAAGTGATAGTTTATCAATTGTGATTCTTGGTTTAATAAATTCAATTTGGTAGATTTTTATCCACCACTATTTCTAAATAATTCGTAGGCTTATATAATTC